CCTGGTGAGCTTCCGTCCTGCAAAGCACCCCACTTCCTCAGTAATTCGGACAAAACCAATTAATTATTTTCAAGCGATAAAGTTGCTTCAGTTTGTTCACATTTGAGTCTTCAGACATTAAATAAAGCAGTGAATAAGTTATTTAACAAATCACAATAGGGCCCAGGGTTAAGTTCAAGAAATATAAAATCACAAGTATTACATTTTACTCTGCATACACATATAACTATTGTTAAGAACAAATTATTAAGGCAAGTTAAACACTTCCTTAATCATTTTCAGCAGTGAAGACCACACAAAACATTTGCCAAAACTAGGAACATGCAGTAAAATATGGCCCAGTGAAGCTAAATTATTTATGGCATTGTAAATGGAAAATGTGAAATTGACCACAGTGTTTAATTTCTCATTATTCTTTTTTCAATGGCACTATTTTTACGCCAAAATAAATATTTGAAATGCAAAAATAAATACATAAACACAGTTTTGCCTCCATAACCCCCAACCATTTCAAAGCAGAAATTAGAATATTATCTGTTTGGCATTCGTACGCGTAAAAAAATGTCTTTATGCTTTTAGAATATATTTGTTTGACTAAAAGCTGACTAACGTTAGCTTGCTAACCGTAACTTAAACAATATTATGAATCTAAGTTAAATGTTGTTCATGAAACGATATTTAACACCAGAATAAAAAATAAAAAGTTGATATAGCTTTGATAATAAAGCAAACCCTGTTTCAATGCTCACATATTTTAATGTTACATACGAAGTTGTTCAAATGTCGAAAAAACCGTTAAAATAAACAGCGGAGGAGGACGGTGCATTTCACAGCAAGGTTTAACGCCATGTAAATTGTAACGAAGAAACAGGGAAATAGTCACAGCATTATTTATCATTCCAGGGCGTTTTTAACTCACAGTTATCATGCAGACAGAGGTCAGGTGAGGCGTTATAAACAACCAAAATCCAAACAAACGGGAACTTTCTGAAGTGAACTCATTGCTCTATCAATCGAAGCGAATGACCTGGCCTTGATGATCTACACCTGGAAGTGCTCTTACATGGAGGTGAGCGCTCCCCCTGCTGGTGAGTCACGAGCACTTCGAGGAGAGTACTCAACTCTCAACACAAGCATCGCTTTAGCAAATACCACCAAGTCCCTTTAATTCTCCCTGTTTGACAGATTATTTATTCTATTTTCTGAAGAGTATGATACTTTTGCAGACTTAATTAATTTTAATACATTACAGATTTAAGGGTTTTCTATACTATAAAAGTGTTTGTCTGATTTGCAATATGATATATGGAAAAGTTATATTGCTCACTAAAGGTCTATTTCTATAGACAGGAGCGATGGCAGACGTGCTAAGTGTGGGGTTTACTGACCAAATTAGGTCCAAATTTCATTCAAACCTTAATTTGAGTCAGAATTTAATTTGGAGTAAAAATCTCAAAATAGTGCATTATTAAGACAGCACTAAGACTAAATCCAGGGCTTACTTGGTTCCACACCCAGACCCAGGCAAAAGCATGGCTGCTACTGGAACTGTGATAAACTAACATATAAAACAACTCTAATCAATTGTTATTTTCTTCATTCTGTCAGTCGCATTTAACTATGAAGACTGAAAAAAAAATAAGGAAATCAGAAAAAGCATAGCGGTCAACATCAGCACGTTGAAAGGTCACTTCTGTTGTGTTTCAACAGTATTGGCTACATTAGAATATGAATTTTAGAAGAGCTGAGAATATGAAATAGCTCTTCATCACAAGCCATTTTCATTGTACATTCAATATAAATATTGATTATTGTGCAGAAATATACAGTACTATGCGCTAGTTTTAAAAAAGTACTGTAAACAAAGAATGTTTTCAGACATAAAATAATAATTGTTCATGAACTGAAACAGAAACAGTGTTGTAGGAGACTTAAAATTGGATTGCTGCTACCAATGTGAGTTTGAGAGAGTGATTATTGTCATTGCAACAACAAGATAAAAGGTAGTTCTTCTGCATCAAAAAGGTCTCTCGTCTGTTCACTCCTTTTCTTGTCTGCTCACATTCTTTCCCTGTAAGCAGCTCTCTCTGCTCTTTCCCTTCATAGCATTAGAGATTTTGACCTGATAAAAGTAAAGTAACCATCCTCACCTGAGACATGTTTGCTTGTAATAAAGGTTTGTGTATAAAAGCTTTCTGAGTGTCTGGGTTCCTGATAGACCCTTGGCTCTTTTATCTGGTGATGCAATGAAATTTGTGAAGTCAGAGTGATGGGGAAAGCAAAACAGATGTCAAAGGATCTACAGGGAAAGGCAGTTGAACTGTACAAAACAGGAAAACTGTTTTAAAGTTATTTGGAGCATTGAGACCAAAATGTAGCTTTTTAAACACAACTATAAACGCTACATTTGGGGAGGAGTCTACAATGCCTATGATGAACAGAACACCATCCCTTTTGTGAAGTACGGAAGTGGGTGACTGATGTTTTGGGGATTTGTGAGCTATAGGCACAGAAAACCTGGTCAAAATTGATGGGAAGATGAATGCAGCATGTTCTCAAATGATACTGGAGAAATTTGCACTCATCAGCCCTAAAGCCGCAGTTGGGACGTTACTAAACATCTCCGATATGAAAACGATCGAAAATACAAGGCCAAGTCCATGTGTCACTGGTTACACTGTAGCAATGTGAAGGTTTTGGAGTGGCCATCTCAGTCTCCTAACCTCAATATCACTGAAAATTCAAATGTGAAGTTCACGCAAGACAGAGTTGGAGGCATTTTGCCAAGACGAATGGGCTGAAGATAAAGAACCTCATAGACAACTACACCAAGAGACTTGAGGTTGTCGTTGATGTTAAAGGGGGGAATACAAAATTTTAAGAGCTTTTGATCAGGTCATTAGGGAAGTTTGTTATCACAATTTATAGAGTAAACAGTTGTTTGACAATAAATGGCTTCATCCAACTACTAACTATGACTTTGACAACACTGTTCAAATCCCCATGTAGATATTAAACTGTTTTAAAATCAAATTTGACCATTAAATAAGTAGTTTGTTAACAAATCAGTTGCTGGCTGCTAAAGTGACCTACTTGACAAAGATCCAATCACTCATCCTCACATCATCGATGTTTTCAAATGTTATCAATCATGGAATCATGGAATTTCAAATTCATTGCTGGGAGATGTTTTCAGAAACAGCATGGATATGGGAGTCTGTAAAAATGTTGAGGCTTGTCCTGCGGTATGGTGTAGTGGGTAGCGTACAGGACACATATGCGCGGTTGCGCAGGGCCGACACAGGTTCCCGAGCCTGTTGTCTTTCCCATCCACCCCATTCTCTCTCCTCCTAATTCCTTGTCACTGTCCTGTCTGTTACCAAAAAAAAATCTACAAAAAGCTACAAAAACATAATCTTAAAAAAAAAATTGTTGAGGCTTTGCAAAAAGAAAATGCAATGTGAAAATCTGAGCCAAAAGTGAAGCAAGCTTCTGTTGCCTGGTCTCCTTTTACAGCTTCCTGCTACGCATGCTATTTTAAAGAGACACACAGCTGCACCTGACAGTTTCCTGCAGAGGGTAGGGCTGCACACTGCACTCCACAATCACTGGCACATAGAGAGAGAAGAGGGAGGGAGAAGAAGAGAAAAAGCAAGTGAGGGGCAAAAGAGCAGCAGATGAGTAAGGAGAAGCAACCCTTCAGAGACAATCTGCAGCACTGGGGGCTATAAGCAAGTCTGTTTGTCATCAGCAGGACACAAAGTGACGGAGGGCCCTGAAGTGACAGCAGGTCCCATAGGCACAGGAAATCATGGGATCAATAGCAATGGAATACAGCCAATGCCTGGATTAAATTTCTAGAAAAGTCACAAAGGGAATCCACTGCAATGCATGGCATTTGAGAGGAGCAAAGTGATCTCAAACACCTCGAGGACAAACTTCTCATCCATGACTTGAGCTGATTTCTTGGAATACGTTTTGTGTTACCCTCACTTGTAGATCTCTGTGTGGAGCATCCTTGATTTATTAGGAAGGGTATGGTCAATCTTGAGGCTATACGTGACGCCTGTTGGTCCCCATGAAGAGGTTTGGCAGTTTGCGTCGGACCAAGAGGCGCAAGGAAGAGGAGCTGCTCCCTGGAAGACAGCAGTCAGATCCATCATGTTTGTCTGGTATGGTGCTAATCAGGAAATGTCTCTGTGTGGAGCCTTTAGCTAGACATAACATTATAGATACTGTATCTGTCAATGGAATGTTCCAGTCTGCTGTTGTGCTACAAATTATTGAACCTCTATCGATTGCCCTGTTATGTTCAGGGATTGTAGTTGCAAAAGTTCCATGACCCATATTTACATTGACCCAAGGACAGTCTTCCAACTTGTTGTCACAAAAATAGACGGCCTAGGCATTTCAGAGTACAGTAGAGGAAAGGTAATTACAGTAGGTTAACGTTTGCAACGTTGAGCCTCTGAATTATGCAAGTTTGTGTCAATCACTTGGCAGATAAATTCATTTGAGTCCTAATTTGGTACTTGTTTAACCCCACGTCGCCAGGTGATGCCTGACGCAAACAGAAATGTGACAGTGATCAATACTGAAACAATAGAAGTTAAGGCATGAGGAGAACACAAGGCTTATGCGCAACCATTGGTCTCTTGAATGCAGAATAAGGTTTGACTTGATTGCTTCATAGATTTTCAATCAAACTTGAGTCTCATACAGATTTCTGTCAAACATTGAATCTTAACGGTTGGCCCCAAACTTAAGTTTGAGCTGTTTTATTGATAATGTAATTGTGGCAAGACCAGTGGTTGCCAAACAGTGGGGAGGTACAGTAGAGTTCTGTTCTTTTTCTGTGACCTTTTTGCAAAACTTTAAACCACCTTTTAAGTTTGAGGGTTATGCCATAAAATAACAATGTTTGAGGGTTTATTTTGATTACAATCTAAACTTTTCAATCACTTTACAATCTAAATCATATGGTAGAACTGAAAATTGAAGCTTTCCAGTGGCTCAGTTGGTAGAGCATTGCGCTAACAACGCAAAGGTTGTGGGTTCAAAATCCCAGGGAAAGCAAGAACTGACAGAAAAAATATGTTCATTCAAATGTAAGTCGCTTTGGATAAAAGTGTCTGCCAAATGCATAAACGTAAATGTAAATGTCAAAATCAGATTGGTATTCACTTACCTTTAGATGTACCGAAAAGTAAAGGTCCCCAGAAGACAAATTTTAAAGCCAGTTACAATTGTTCAGTGTTTATTGACACTATTGATTTCTTTTTAAAGATTTTGGGGATTTTTGCCATTATTTTCAACAGACAGGACAGTGTCGAGACAGGAAAAGAAAAAGGTAACTAGAGGAGCAAGGTTAGGAATTGACAATAGGTTCTGGATTCAAACTGTAAGAGAAGAGTTTAAATCATTTTGTGTCTTGAAATAAAACAGGAAGTACATCACAAACCAGAAGTAACAAGCTCCTATAAAAGAGCAACTCTATTCCCTCTCTCTTTCATATTCAGATCTTTGTGAATTTAGCTTAGCTTAACCATGTCTGCATGTTTAAGTTAAAACAAAGTCGTATTGCTGATATAATTTACTAAAATCTTGCTCTAGAGTCTTCATTACTTTATTGAAAACAAGCAATTGATCACAGAATCCACAATTCCCTGCACAACCGCACCACGTTTATGTCTGCACTGTCCATTGCACCATGAGGATGGATACCAACACTGCTTTGCACTTACAGGCATATGAACGTGCTGAAATGTGAGCAGTTATTGTGATTGGCTCTGTGTCAGTATGCAGGATTTCCAGGGTATGGAGGCAAACTTGCTTGAAGCACAGAGAGTTTATGTAAGAGTTCACTCTGACTGAGTTCATTAGGTTGAACTCGTCATCCCTAAACAAATCTCTACCATAAAAGGTGGGAGAGACCCTATCAGTGAGTGTCAATTCTGCTTTTGTAGCCTTCATTTTAGTACACGGCCACAGTTAGAAGTAATAGCCTTTTCACAAGATTTGGGATTTTTTTTTTTTTACAATTTTTCCAGCTGCAGATTTGTGAGATTGGAGATTGGAAGCCAAACTCACCCATACATGTCTGTCATGATGCACCTGATATTGTGAACTGTTTTACATTCACATTGGAACAGGAAGAGGCCATTTCTAAACTGATCCCAGATAGAAGGGAGCATGTAATTTTGTAAAATTGTTTCCCTGCAACGAAGGGGTCACACACCATAATCAGAAGAAAAATAAACATCCTGGTATCAAAATGATGACTAATTTAACGTATATTAAAATTCCAACCACCCATGCAAATTTGTTCTATCTCTGTACATCCTTTGCTCAATTACAAATACACTGTAGTGACAAGCTTTCAAGGCTGGCTTTGGCCAATTTAATTGTAACCTATGGTTAATGTCACAGGCACTGTGTTTACAGTTTATTCAACTCTTTTATACTTGTGCAATTGATGTGGAACTATTAGGATGGGTGAATGACTACTTTTTGCAATTTAGTGTTCTGTATGCTAATCAATAGCCATCTTATTCAAAATGATAATGTGAAGATATTAGCATATGTCGTGTGGGATATCGCATACAAATGTGTTGAATTGAACTTTTTTGCTTGATTTCTATTATCAACAAGCGTAAACATTAGCGTTAACTCTACACAAACACATCAGATTATGAATTTCTACAAATACTTTGGAGATCTTTTGTTCAAATAGCCAACATTAGTCGTAATTCAGGTCTTGAAGTAAAAAGGTGCTGACAATGTTCACAAAAGGCCTTGATTGATAAATGAAATGTCATGTGTTGCAAGGGCCAGCACTCTCACCGGAGTTCTAACCCAGAGCGGTGAGTGTTATCTGCCCTTCTGGAATGTGTAGCAGTGGCAAGGCTAAAATAAGAAGCTAACGCAGCAACACACATAACAGGTCTGGGGCAGCTGGCAGATTGAAGCTAAATGTCAGAAGAAAGTTAAGGTCCAAAAGACTTATGAAATATAATTAATTAAACAAATTTACTTCACTTAATGTCTAGAATAGAACTAATAAAGTTACCTCAGCAATCCTTTAGCATGTAATGCTAATAATTTAGCATCAGAATCTGAGAACAGCTGGATCTGCTAAACTGCGAGCTCGTTGAATCTACTACCAACAAATATTACAGCGAGTTTTCACTAGTGTACAGTATATGTTCAGTTACAAAGCAAGTTTGTGCTGGAGAGTATAAAGGAAGAAGGGGGAAGGCAAAGAGGGTTAATATGCAGGAACAATGGCAATGTTACTTAAATGTACAGAAAAGTACATATAAACTGAGCCTGGTTTAATGACTTTAACCAATTTTGCCATAATTTTTTCCTCTAAAATTAAATTATTGAAATAAACACCCGGAATGCTGTTCTAAAATGTGGATGCTCAGAAAATCTGCAGTTTGACCAGGGCATTGCGATGCGTGCATCATCCAGACTCCGTTAAAATCACAGGCCTCTTGGAGCCTACTATAGCCAAGTTGTCAGTAGACTGTTCTGTTTGTATTTATTTGTAATAATACATGCTCTTTTGGCAGGTCATCACATGACATGCAGTATTACAGTGTTAAAGAGGGTGTAATGAGATGACATTACAAAACAACACTGGTTTAAACACTCAGTGGCCAATTTATTAGGCACACTTTGGTAGTACCATGCTGGACCCCCTTTTGCCTTCAGAACTGCCTTAATCCTTTGTTACACAAATTCAATAAGGTATTGGATCCATTTCACAGAGAGTTTGGTCTGCATCGAGAGGATAGCACCACGCTCTTGATGCTTATTTGTCAGCAACACGTCTCCTGTTTCACCACATCCCAAAGGTCTCCAATTGGATTGAGATCTGGTTACTGTGGAGGTTATTTGAGTACAGTGATCTGATTGTCATGTTCGAGAAACCAGTCTAGGATGATTCAAGCTTTATGACATGGCGGATTATCCTGTTGGAAGTAGCCATCAGATGATAAAATTATGGACATGGTCAGGAACAGTGCGTTCAGAGATGCTCTTCTGCACATCATCGATTAGTTATTTGAGTTACTGTTGTTTTTCCTATCTGCCCGAACCAGTCTGGCCATTCTCTGACTTCTGGATATTCCTGCTGTTTAGAATAACTGATATATTTCAAGTGTGACTCCAGAGTTTACTGGTCACCAAATAAAATCTGCAAAAATGAACATCCAGACCTAGCTGTACCCTAAGTTTGAGTCACAACTTTACCAACTGACTCAATTTGATCCTCATTTCACTATGCAAACAAAGCTAATGACTTTTAAACATCTTAAAGTTGTCTATGGAGATCTCTGACACACAAAGGAGGGTTACCAGGACATTTATCTATAGAATTTACTTATATCTATAGAATTTACCCTTCCAACTTGTTCCATTGTATCACACTTCGGATCTAATGTTTGTTCCTTTTAACGGTTTTCCTATTGTAACACCTATTTCTCACTAATGTACCAACATAAAATAATTGACTTACATTTTTTTACCTCTAAAGACACATGGATTAGCATCAGTGTTGTAGATGCCATCATTTTACTTTACACGTATAAGCTAAATTGTATATACCAGAAGGAGCCAAGACATAAGATTATCTACATAATCAACTCAAGTAGTCTTAAGAAAAACATTTGACAATTTGGTTTAAGTGTATTATTGGATGACAGAAATGGTCATTGAGAACTGTTGTAGTAAATGCCTCGAAAGCAGATATACGAGTGTAAGCAGTTGCTTCAGCTGAATGGATGGACTGATATTCTAATCATGCACTGTTGTACAACTTTAAGATTCCTTCAGGGCATATGTCCTCTTCACCAGGCCGTGTGAATGTTAAAGAATAGTACAGTAATACATCTCCATGCATATGTTATGCCATTGGCCATGTGTGTTTCACAGTGTGACAACTCATACTGAACACCTCAGAATCATGAAATGATCTTGGGGTCTCATTTATAAAAGAGCGCATAGAATCTTGACTAAAACTAAATGTACGTCAGAAAGGTCAAATTTGCAAGCGCAAAAAAAAAATTGTCAAAATCAGATTTATAAAACTGTTCGTACACACACCGGCAATCAATCTTCCTTTTACAAATCACAGATGGTACTCAAATGTGCACACATTAGGTATGCATATTTAGACAGCATTCCCTGCGCGTATTTGTGAGTTTGGAATTGAATTTGAGGTTGAAAAAAGCAGAATTTCTCCAAAACAGAAATCAAAATTCTTTCAGAGGACGAATTCAAAAGCAATTGCCTCAGAATGGCTGGACCCAATTGATCACATAAATCGAACAGAGCTACTCTCAGGAATCTAAATCGGCTTATTAGTCACACATCATCATTTGCCATCTTGTAACTTTCAGGCACAAGGGTTAAGGCAGTCTTTATACGTTTAGCAATCACAATTATTCTTAACATAATTAGTATCGCATTATTTCACCCAAACGATATTTTTCCACAGCCATATTTTAGTTTTATTTATAAGTCATAAAGTATGTCAGTTACATCTGTTTTAACAAAAACATCCCCTTTTCAAATTTTAAGTGAAATGGTTGCCATTCCCACCAGATGTCCCTATTACCTCAAATATCCCCAATACGCCAAAGAAGTTTACATACGCACTGTTCATATTCTACGTAAGGATAAATGAGGCCCCAGTTCTTCACCTAATAATCCAAAATCATCCAAATTCAAACAGTGTGTAAAAAAAAAAAAAAACACCACTCAGTTGGAAAATTCTGTTCTTGAGTGGTGACGTTTTTCCTCAATACCTTGTCCTAGAAGTCTATGTTAGCTTATACTATATAGCCTGGTGTGGCATGTAGGTCTTAGGAAATCTGTGTCTCAACGACATGTTTGCCTCTCTCGGAGGCAATTGTAATCTCTCATTACAATGTGAGTCTCTTTTTATACGCTTTACAGTGCAATAACATCTCGCTACACTGAACACTTCATGCCTAGAGTGCCAGTTGAATTCAGGCAGTATGCAACAAGTCCATATCCAACAGAAAAACACTAGTGTAAATTTAAAA